ATTTCGAATGATTTTAACCTGCCTTGAAACTGATTTCAATTAATTTCGATTTCGCCCCAAATCAATCGAAATCCTTTGAAATCACTTGAAATCGTTTGAAATCACCCGAAATCATCTGAAATCAAACCACTAATTTGAAATCAGGAAATCAGTTACTTCCCCCTTGCTCCCCACTCAAAAATTTAAGCTCAACAGGGTACATGAGATATTGATGAAACTTTGCATAGATGTTGAACTCATGGAAGTACATTAATGAAAAAAAGTTCACGCCTCTATACCTTACCATTTAGGAGATATCAAGGAAGAAAGTTTCTGAAAAACTCAGCATTTCTCTAATATTGATGGCCAATTAGAAAATTCTGTACTCTTATCTGAAAGACTATGCATGCATTTATCGATGAAAAAAAATACAGCTCTCTAGATTGCAATGTATTGAAAAACACTTGTTCAAAGATCAATCATCACAGAAAAAAATAAATTTGAGAAAAGTATAAAAAAAAATTTTTATTTAGTTTTTCTATTATTAATTAAAACTGAGGAAAAGCCTAAATATATCTGATGTCAATCGAAGCTCTTATCAATGTACAATAAGTTATTCTTATATAAGACATATCACGATAGATGATGCTAACTATAGTCGTCTTTCTATTCATTATACCATCGACCAAGATGATTAAGAGAGAACATTGTCGAAATGAAAGTAAAAATTAGCTCTACAACTTAACAGCGTCCAATTTTTCCTCGGTTATTTTTTTTTTTTATGAACATTGATGGGGAAATCGAAAAATACAGCTCTGTTAAGTTGTAAAGCTAATTTTTGCCTACGTCTCAACACCAAGTTGAGCTCTCTAGCGTTTAAAATGACGGAGAAATCTGATAAGCACGGAAATGTGACAACTGAAATTTTTCAGAAAAAACATCATTATTTAATAGAAACCTATTGGAGATTTTTCGAGTGTGGAACGTGGATGTTGATGAAGAGTAAACAAATTGTCGCATCCACAAATTGTATTCCCGGGAAAATCTATAGAACCTTTGGCAAAGAAGTTACTGAGAAACATACAAAAAAGATTGATGTCCATGCAATCACAGAACTATTAAGAATAAACGAATCGAACAACGCTCTTATAGAGAAAAAAAGCACTAAAATGCAGATGCGTGCAAAGTGTTTTTCTCGTAAGTAATCAATATCAGAATCCATTCATTTGACAGCACAGCGAAATCCAATCTGTTATGAAAATTTTCTTGTTAGATATAAAATCGAATCATACATTGGTAAAATTTTGCAAGTGCAAATTTATATTTACACATGGATTGGAGAAGGAAAGTGCTCAAAATACCTTGAACAAATCAACCGATCAAGAAAAATTTTCTTCTTTCTAGTAAAAAGCATGTAAAAGTTATAACAAATTGACATCGATATAGAATAGTTTACTCTTGACAGACACGAGCATAGAACAATAAATTTTTTCAAATAATCTCCTCAAATTATACCTTGAGACACGATTCAACCGCTGACATAAACAACAATAGTCAAACGTTTTCTTGACTATTGACAAAATCTATCTAACGTAGCATATTCAAATATATAACTAAAGAAAATTTGAGACGATTATTGAAAGTACAAATATTACTGTAATCATTGCGATCAGTTTTAATAAAATTCAACAAAGAAGAAATGTTGAGACGCTGCACCAACAACTACTCAATCCTTCAAAAACTTGAATTTGAAACGTTGTACAAAATGATTCTTTAAGAAGTTGCTGATACTATTGTTAATTGACACAGTTAAATAGCACAAAACATAGTTGAAGAGATTCTCTACAAATCGATGAATAACGGATCTTTATAGCGATAGTACTTACCAAATATATTCACTTTTCAATCTTTTGAAAAAAAAAAAACACATAATAGAATACCTTATCGACAATGTGCTACTTTGTACAAATGCGATTTAATAATATCTCAATCAGTCACTCATCTTCAGTTATTTTCAATTCCTGTTCATATTGTATATATAAACATAAGAGTGAAAATCTTTTGTTTTTGTCGCCATAGCAAAGATCACAGAAAACAAAAAGTATGATAATATTATGTTCGAACCATAAATAAATAGATATTCAATGATTATATCGTATATCATCTGTGTCACAAAAAATGTATCTCTTGGAAATATTTCATCGAACTTGTTAAACATGAAAATAAATAAATGAAGAATTTTCTCACACAAAGATATAACATGTAATAACAAGAGAACGATCGAAGTGGCTTGTACTGACTCAATAAATTATTAGTATTATATTTCAATATGCTCAAGATTTTCCTCTGCAGAGAATATAAAACATTGATTATAATATAGAATCAAATTTAACAGTTAAGGTTGACTGATACATTTTAAAATATATCCAAAATCCAGTGTTTAGTTTGTTACAAAAACATTATTAATCGTTTTCAAAATTGTGTTTGTTCATAAATCCACTCTTAGGAGTTTGTCAATGTCACATTTTTCTTATCTTTCAAAAAATGAAAATACATAAATCAGTACAGTCTAGTAACAAATAATAAACAATTAATCATCAATATTTCATAAAGAAAATTTTCAAACTCATATAATCAGTAGCTATTGAATCTATCAAAGTTTTCAACTTGAATTCTTTTTTACGCATATTTATAAAAAGGACTAAACAACTTTCAAAGAATACAAAAAATAAACTATCGAAAAAAATTATTATTATATTGGTATTGTTTCATTGCTGATTCACTTTAGTTTCTTCCAACACCAGTCACAATTACAAAGAATGCTTTCAAATCATGACAATTCTCTTCAAGATTGTTCTCCCACCAATATGTATGCCTCTCTGACTTTTTCAATCTTAACTAATATTGTCTGAATTTCTTCGAAAAGTTAACTTTGGATCGTCTATCTATTCTACATTGATCCAGATCTTGGCGTATAATATAGGCAATTTGAGATGGATGACTATACGAAATGCACCGGCCAACTTGTTACTCTTTCAGCTGACTAGATGCCATGACTATTTCTTCTGCTGCTTTTAATAATATCATTCACGATTAAATCGAGTAATTCGGCTTCCGCATCTTAAGATCATTTCACATTGAGAAAGTTTGGCAACTTCAGAAGAATACGACAAATGCACATCTAAAATTCGTTTTTTCGAAATTTGGCTCTATGCAAGAACTAGAAAAAAAATATGGGAAACAAGAATTAACAACTGAAAATCTTCTTACATGGTCATACATGACTTTATCTTCTATTGACCAAGAGATATCTGGAATGCTATGTGCATGTACAATTTAATTATCCGCTTACATGAATTAAACTCATCGATGAAGAAGTCTCAAATACTCACAAACACTATTAAATGGCATAAACTCATCAGTTGAAGGAAGTCATAATGAACTACTAGCATCATATATATATTGCTAAAGTTGAGTAAAACTCATTATCTTTGATCCATCAACTACACCAAGATTGGTGAATGTCAAGCAGTTTCATAATCATTTCTTTTACACAAGTCGAAAATTTCAAAGCAAGAGATGTCCTATAGAATGATGTTCTAGAGTTTCATAAGCTCTTCCACTCACGAGGGACGTACCAGAAGTGTCCCCTCGATTTAGAGCTCATACTTTCACCACAAGTAGACCTCACTATGACTATCAAAAGCCTAAAAGGATTCGTACCCATGGCCTTGTGATCAAAAGTCATGTTTATGTTATTAGGACGTGGGTGTGGGTGCGGTGTGGATATGGGTGGGTGTGGGTGTCGATGTGGGTGAGTGTGAGTGGGGGTGTGGGTGGGTGTGAGTGTGGGTGTAGGCAGTGTGGATGTGAGTGTGGGTGTGGGTGTGGGTGTGTAGGTGTGTGGGTGGGTGAGTAGATGTGTGGGTGTGGGCTATTCTTCTTGAGCCACCACACCCACACCCCCCCACCCCCACCCCCACACCCTCCACCCACACCCCCACCCACCCACATCCCACCCACGCCCACACCCACACCCTCATAAAAGAAGTATGGAATCATGTATCGAAAATAATACAAACGGAACTTTTTAGTCGATCATCATTTTTTTAATTTCGCAAACATACGAATTTGTCACCTTTGAAAAGTACTGATCATTGACATTGAAAGCTTAATTTCATTAGTTGCTTTCTGTCAACAAGCTAATGAACAGAACTGATTATTTAGGTAACATACTATTGAACACTAATGAAGTAACAGACACAATAAATCGATAACATTTTTCTCTATAAACTCAGTTGTATAGGAATTGATACAGAATAAAAATGGTTTACCTGATAAAATCAATCCAAAGTAATCAAATCGGTGCTATCGAAGTAAACTAACAATATACATCACGATTTTGAATCTCATCTCGACAATAAAAAATTAAGAACTGTATTTTATATCTTAATTAGTTTAGATACCATTAAATTCATCTAAAAGGATTACTAAACTACTCAGCATAAAGTTTGCCATTGAAAAATACACAAATTTTTAACAAAACAAGAATAGACAGATTTATGATCTTATACTGTCTCAGGTTTTAAAAAGCACAGAAAAAAAGGCAATTTCAATTTAAAAGAAACGCTCTTAATCAAAATAACTTTAGGGCTTTTTTTTTCAAAAATTTTTCTTTTTTATCAAAACAATTTTTCATTTTTACTGTCCTAAATACTAAACAACATCGAAAAGAAAAAGAAATAATATATTTACATCAATTTCTTAACTATTCAAAAAATAAATCGTCATCCATCTTTTAACCTTGACTGATCAATACATTTCAATTCTAATCCAGCTTGTAAAACTACTAATATTGAATATTTCCGAGACAATATCTTTTCATTCATTTTTGTCTCCTCTTCTCACTTCTTTCTTAATCATTTGTTGGTTTTTGAAAAAAGCACACACATATAGACACTTCACATTTAAGTTAAAACATTCTTTTTCTTTTAAAGCAATTTCATATATATATATATATAATGAAACTTAATGCAATTGCTCAACATCGACTTAAACATATTAATCTCTTGTTAGCACATGAATTAGCATTAATTGAACGTGAACATGAAAAAAATTTAATAGCATATAAAAATCTTACAACTTCGATTTGTCGTGATTATGATCGAATATCAAACTTAAATCAAAATAAAATTTCATTATCAATTGATGAAATTTATGATGAACAAAGTCAAACATTTGATTATCCTAAGAAACAACTTTCAACAAATAATTATTTAAATGATAAATCTTGTTCATCAATAATTAGTAGTAATTATACTCGAAGTCAAATAGACGTATCCATAGTTCGAAATTCTTCAAAATATCGACGTCAATGTTCAAAACTTGAACGTTTACCTCCAATAATAAAAGCAAATATATCAAATCAACATAAACCATCAACTAGTAATTTACATTCGATGAATTGTTTTCAACCAACAGATAAACGTAAACAAAGTTTTACTGAAACATTTTCATCATTCGATAAAAATTCATCAAAAAAAACTATACCAGAAATAACACCTATACAAAAAGAAATTCAATCATTTTTGGAAAGTTTACCAACATATACAGGTATTCAATGTGGTTTTGATAGTTTTGGTTCATCATCTCGTTATTCATTTCGATCAAAACGATGATTATAAAATAACATTGAAATATTTTATTTTAATATATTCTATAAAAAAATAATTCTCAATGTAGAATTAGATATTAGAATATAATTTTATTATTCGAATGTATCAATCTATTTATGAGGAAATACGAAATAGAATTAAATAGAAAAATCAGAATTGTATTAATTATAAAAGTTAATGATAATCAATAATCCAATATCTATTTAATTCATCTTCATTTCTTAATTTAGAGAGAGAGACATGATGTCGGCATTAAAAAAGAAGATTAGAGCTTTGTTTATGTTCAATGAGTCTATGTCAATATCATATCTGAAGAAATCTAAATAATTCATCATGTAGTATTACATTACATAATAGAAATTCCTGAACAATCCAATTAAATATGGTTAGGGAGAATTTGATTTAATCACAGCAAGAAATTGCATTTGGAAGACGGGTGTGGGCGTGGATGTGCGCGTGGGTGTGGGCGTGGATGTGCGCGTGGGTGTTGGTGTGGATGGGTGTGGGAATGTGTGGGGTGTGGGTGTGTGGGTGTGGGTGTGTCGGTGTGGGGTGGGTGTGGATGAGTGTGATTGGAATACCCTCACCCATTCACACCCACACCCCACACCCAGTGTAAGAATCGATTAACAGCATGTTTTATTTCATGGCAAAAAAGTAGTATATAAAGTCTATAATAAATCAAATAAATCAATTTGTATCTGATATATTTGATACGTTACTTTTGTATTACAGAAACTCATGTTTTTAGGAAAGCTTCTTATAGATTAAATTCAGAAAATATGTCTAAAATATAATTAGATGGCAAATTAATTTCATGTACTGATGAACAAAATCAGTAAATGAATTAATTTGAATCTACTAGCAGCATCGTGAGTACGAGAGTATGGATGTGTGTCTCCTCTACACCTTATACCAACACCCTCTAGAATATTATGGCATGAATAGTCTAACAAATTGAATATGTTAAATCATCCTTATAGAATTTCAGGATAGCGCATAGTCAAGTGGAGTAAGTTGCCAGGTATGATCTTCTTCCAAGGCATTTTGCGATGTCGCACCTGGCTAGAATGCAAATGCCATGCGCGCAATGACATACAGACGTTTCGTACTGTGTAACCATGATGAATGAGCTCATAAATAATTTTCATTTCTACATTCCATGTGCCCATTTCGAATGAAAGTTGGCGAGAAATATTAGATGGAATGGGTGGATGAAATATAAGAACATCATGACTGCCTACATATTTCTTCGAGCATTGAAGACTAAGTGTGGTAATATTTGGATCGATCTCGTATCGAGAGAGATAAAAAGCTGTCTTACAATCGATCATCGGAGAGTTTCGTAAAAGTATTAAACTTCGATCGAAGAAAATGTCCAAATTGATGAGAATAGCATAGCCTGAATAGATATTATCATTGGCATAATCGATAGCTTCTTGGATAGTCAAGCGCTCAGATGATGATTTTTTAAGAAATCGAATTATCAACTTGGATTTGAAAAGAGCAAACGGAAAGCCCGAATCAGCTTGAACATCATGTTCAACAGTACAAGGCGCATTGTATGGTTGAAGTAGATGAATATTTGTCACTGCATCGTTGATCACATTCATGTGTAAAACACTGATGAGCTCATGACGTCTACGCATGTTCATTTCTTGATACCATTGACTGATCAAGTGCACAGGATGTCGATGAGTTCTATTCAATACTTTTTTTTTGTTTCCATTTTGTGATGGCCAATAAGTCGGTCACTGAATAACATGTTGAGCTATTTTTCACCGACGAGCGCATTTCTGGTGGTACAAACTCAGTATTGGCCTCTTGATCTTTAATGGATAAATAATGAGATCACTTGATAAATCGATATATACTTACTATATTTGCACAATTCAGGTTGCTGGCTGAATTTTCTTCTTGAAAATACTAGTCTCGAGTATAAGAATACCATCAATACTACGAATAATCCTACAATGCAAATGAGCACTTGTACATGTCGATGCATCATCTAGAAAAATGGATTCTTATGATATCAATGTTCTTAACGACCACAACTTCTCTAGAGACTCGAGTTCTATCGTTCGGTTAAAAATAAGTATTACAAATTTCACAAAACGAATCTTTCCAGCAATACTTAATTTGCTCAAGTTTAACTGAATTTCCTTAAACCTCATAAAAGATAGAATTATGAGATGAAAAGGTCCTATATTTTACAACAATCATCAGTCGAGGCACTACTAACAACTGAAACAAAGAAAGAAAACGATAGTATGTCTTGTATAGAAGCTTAGTACATATATATGAACATCGTAACGTTTATTGACGTTTGTCATTGAATAAAATTTTGAATTCGATTAGAAAATATTTATTCTCATTTTGATGGATTCAGCAATAGACCCAATCTTGGTGATTCTTAGGTCTACAAGCAACAGGACATTCACCGAACGCGTACTGATCATAACGACATGGTTTGATGCATCCAACAAAAATATTGCTACCATTGATCAAAGGTCTTTGAGTTGGGAATGGTCTTCCACGTCCTTCGAAACTCCGACGATGAAAGCTGTCGTGGATGAGAGACGAATTTTCTACATGAGGCCATACTTCCTTAACCAAAAACGATTGATCTCTCACACCTAGATAGGCTTGAACGAGCGTTTTATTTAACAGTTTGTTGAGAATTTGAAGTGATAGTGCTCTGTCGAGTTCGGATCGAAATCCCCACATTCCGGCTAACAGTGGAGTGTTATGACGAGGATGGTCTCTCATAGCATGAAAAATAACCTTCATTGCAAGCCATTCATCGACAGCAGCACGTTCACGTTGAGTGAGAGGTGAATCCAAGTCACGACTGATCACTAAACAATCAATGAAGAGCTATCACATCGTAATATAGTCAATCTTCTTGATTCAAAAAAAGTATTAATAAGACTGCTTTATAGAATTAATCACCTCAATGCTGCAGAAAATGGTCTGTATGAGGTAAAAAGAGTTTCTGAACGTGATGGAAGGAAATTCAATCTCTCATATTTTGGGAAAAGATCGTCAGTTCTACTTTAAAAAACGATTTCATCATCTGTCTCTGTGAGATCAACATTCAGTATATGGAAAGAGCGACGATAACTCACGAATAATACATACAATTGTACCTCCGATGCATACTTCTAATAAAAATATCGCCCACTATTTTTTCGACAAGCCACGCTTCTATTCCGGTTTTTTCTCCGAAAAAACATTAATGAATAGATTGTTAGCCTTAGATATATAGCAAGAATGATGTATTCATCAGACCATTTGAAAATGCTACATATAAAAAGAAGCCGTCGATTGAGTGATTTGATTCGACCGTTAGTCCATCATCTGCTATAATATGGGATTTTGCTTCTACTAGTTATCCGAAAAAGTATGGCAAGCAAACAAAAGTGAACTGTTATACTTTAAGCATGGAATTGCAAATGGTACCCATTTGCATTCAGATGTGTACTTATTGACGTCTACAAGCAGGTCACCGACTGGCAAATATCGCCACATTCTCGCAGCAGTGAGTGTTTTGTTAGCCATGTTACAAAAATCGACATGATTGTGCTGATGTTGCACTGTCTGTACTACTTTATCATCTAAAGTGTCATCATGATACACTCGAAGAAGCCATCCTGGATATACTTGACGAGCTTCTTCAATCAGCTCGTGTAGAAATGAGACCGATTTTTGACGTTGAAAGAGTGAGTTTTCTTTGGGTCCAAACAGACTCACTGCGATGACATACTGATGGTAGCCACGATCAGTCGCACGAAAACTGCATAGATCTGATGATTTCATCCTAGAAGCATCGATATTGCCCGATGGAAAAAAGTAGTATGCAGTTTGCAGATCAACATGGATATATGAGAATACAAAAAATAGGATTTGGAAGAGAAGACAGATAAGAAACACAAGGATGACAACTAGTACACTCAGCTGAAATCGATGTTGAACAAGGCCCATCGTCAGATATATTCTGTGATGTTGGACTAGAATTTGATATTTTCATTGAAACCAAAGTTCATCCTTGTCTCAGAAGAATGAGGTAGGAAGAGCAATCAGAAAAGATCTGAAAGAAAAGACATCAAATATCAGCCAACTTGAGATAGTATACTTGGATTAGAGTCTCTAATTCAACTGAATGGTAACGAAGGCAATAAAAATGGACGATTAGAGTTTTAGAATGAGGATAGGTTGTCTCGTTTACTATATAAGTCACCTGCATGGTATATATAGTTTGTCTCGTAACCATTTCTTAAGTCACTAAGGAGAATAAGATAATGCCTGCAACCTCAAGATCCACCCATTCATAAGTCCAAGCCCTAAACAGCACACTAGGATAACAAATTAATGTTTTTCTAGGTGTATATTTGTTCGGAAAAGTTCACTATATGAAAAGTAGACTTCTGACAACAGACAAATTAGGAAAGAATATGACTGTTCATGTAAAAGTATTCTCTACGGCTGTCTATGAACATTCAACTGAAGATTTTGCACATCTAATGGTGATCTTTCCTTTTTTTTTTCATGAGATGTCTAATAAAAAGTTTTCTTAACGGAATCTCATTTACACGAGTTTTTGTTTTTCGTGAACGGCATTTTTAACGCAAGATCCTATCCTCTCTAATGTAAAACATCTCACGGATCGCTCAGCATATAAGTTAGAAGATGAAAGATTGAACAAAGCTCAATCGAAACAAAGACGAATGTAACATGTTCAAGAAAATCTTAAACAGGTTCAATTGCAATGTCAGCCGACGATATCTAACAAATCTCTACAACAAAAGATAGTCTCAACATAATTACCCTCACTAGTAACGTTTTACATTATGAATCATAATGAAAACTGTTAGTAGATGTATCATGAAGGAAGGAACTCATCCTAATGAATTATAGAGATGATGTGGGAGAATGCTAGAAAGAATAGATATCAGTAAAATAGACTCAAAATGCCGACCTTGTCTATGGATGGGATTATTATA